GGTGAGGAGGGGGAGGGGCGGTGGTGGGGGAGGGGCGTGAGGGGCGTGGGGGGGTCAAAGACCCCCAAAAAAAGGGTGGGGGAGGGGAAGAGGGAGGAGGAACCCAAAGTTGGGGGATCCCAAAATTTGGGAAAAATCCCAAAAAATCGGAGATGGGGGGAGGGGAGTGAAAAGTCAAGGGGGGTGGGGGGAGGGGATCCCCGAATTTGGGGTGACCCCAAACTCTGGGAACGGCCCCGAAATTTTTCAGGATCGGCCCCGAAATCCTGGGAATGTCCCTAAAGGATTTTCTGGGACGTCCCCAAATTTTTTGGGATGTCCCCAAATCCTGGGAATTCCCCCCCATCCCCCCCCCACCTTTGGGAGGTCTCGGAACCTCCCGCGGGAAGTGCCCAAAACTGGGGAGAAAATCCAAAAATTCGGGGGAATTTTCATCGACTTCGGGAATTTTTGGGAGTTTTGGGGAATTTTGGGGGATTTTTGGGAATTTTGGGGGATTTTTGGGGATTTGGGAACCAAGATTCACCAACTTCAGGCAACTTCTGGGAATCTTTTGGGAACTTTGAGGAACTTTGTGGAACTTTCACCAACTTTGAGGAACTTTTGGGAACTTTTGGGGGATTCTTGGGGAACTTTGGGGAACTTTTGGCCAAGACTGAGGAATTTTTTGGTCAAGTTTGAAGAACTTTGAGGAACTTCTGGGAACTTTCACCAACTCTGGGGAACTTTCGGCCAAGTTTGAGGAACTCTGAAGAAATTCCACCAACCTTGAGGGACTTTTGGCCAACTTTGAGGGACTTTTGGTCAAGTTTCAGGAGCTTTGAGGAACCTTCACCAACTTTGAGGGACTTTTGGCCAAGTTTGGAGAACTTTGAGGAACTTTGAGGAACTTTCACCAACTTTGAGGGACCTTTGGTCAAGTTTGAGGGACTTTTGGTCAAGTCTGAGGAACTTTCACCAACTCTGAGGGACTTTTGGCCAAGTTTGGAGAACTTTGAGGAACTTTGAGGAACTTTCAGCAACTTTGAGGGACTTTTGGCCAAGTTTGGAGAACTTTGAGGAACTTTGAGGAACTTTCACCAACTTTGAGGGACTTTTGGCTAAGTTTGGAGAACTTTGAGGAACTTCCACCCAACTTTCAAGAACTTTGATGAACTTTTGGGAACTTTCACCGATTCTGGGGAACTTCTCGCAGATTTTGGGGACCCCCAGGGGTTTTTTGGGGCCTCTCAGGGCACGGAGACGCGGAAGGGGCTGTTGGGCACGTGCTGCTCGCCCCACTTGACCACGAGCACGTAGTCGCCGCGCTCCCGCAGCAGGTAGCCCACGTTGTAGAGTTGGTTGCCCAAGTGCTTGACCACGATCTCCTCGCAGGGGTTCCGGGGTCCCTGGACCCCCACCAGCAGCATGTTGTTACCTGGGAAAGGGAAAAATAAAAAAACAGGATTTTTTTAGGATTTTTTGGGATTTTTTGGGGATTTTTTGGGGATTTTTTGGGGATTTTTTGGGGATTTTTTGGGGATTTTTTGGGGATTTTTTTGGGGGGATTTTTTTGGGGGTTTTATTTTGAATTTTTGGAGATTTTTTTTGATTTTTTAGGATTTTTTTTTTTTTGATTTTTGGGGTTTTTTGGGATTGTTTGGGGATTTTTTTGGGATTTTTTTTTATTTTTTGGGGATTTATTTTGAATTTTTGGGGGGATTTTTTGGGGTTTTTCTTGGAATTTTTTTGAGTTTTTCTTGGGTTTTTTTTTTCAGGTTTGTTCAAGTTTTTGGAGTTGGTTTGGGGTTGTTGAAGGTTTTGGGGATTTTGGGGAATTTTTTTGCAGGTTTTTTTGAGAGGTTTTGGGGCTGTTTCAGGGTGAATTTTGGGCTATTTCAAGGTGATTTTTTGGCTATTTTAAGGTGATTTTTGGGCTATTTTAAGGTGATTTTTGGAGTGATTTTAAGGTGATTTTTGGAGTGATTTTAAGGTGATTTTTGGAGCTATTTTAAGCTGATTTTTTGGAGCTTTTTAAGGTGATTTTTGCAGTGATTTGAAGGTGATTTTTAGAGCTATTTCAGGCTGATTTTTGGAGCTATTTTAAGGTGATTTTTGGCCTATTTTAAGGTGATTTTTAGGCTATTTTAAGCTGATTTTTGGCCTATTCCAAGCTGATTTTTTGGCCTGTCCCAGCCTGACTTTTTGACCTATTCCAGCCTGATTTTGGGGCTATTTTGGCTCATTCTGGGGGTTGTTTATTGTTTCACTCACCGGCCTTGCTGCAGTCCACGGTGAAGGAATTTTTCTGCCCCACGAAGCCTTTGCTGAGCCCCAAACCTTTGGCCACCACCTTGGAGGCGTCAGAGAATTTGGGGGGTCCCTGGGGGGCTCCGGCGGGGGCGGGGGCGGGGGGGGGACCCCCGTGGGCCCCCC